AGAAAATTATTCAAATAAAGCTACGTACTTGTAATCTCTAGAGTATCTGTGGAATTAGGATATTGTTCATTCTATAATATTTTATAGTATACTTAGTAAACTACTGTCTACAAATTATAAACATATGGTTTATTCTTTTAACACTAGAGACCATTTCTTCCCTGCCCCAGGGAATTTTGTGACCCTACAGCTTAATCCTTTAGGTATTATGAAGGAAAGCATGACCATCAAGACTGTGACTCACCCCCTCCCAACTCTTGAGAATAATTAGCAAAATTGTTGTTGTTAAATGCCATTGAGTAAGTTCCAACTCATAGTAACCCTGTATAGGGTTTCCAAAGAGTGACTGGTGAGTTTGAACCACCAACTTTGTAGTTCAAACCGACCTTGTGGTCCAGTGCTTATCTGCAGCACCATACCAGGACTCCACTAGCTAAATGAGCCTCCTTATAAGCATGCTAATGGCATTTACTAGCAGAGAACATCTGTTCATTTTGCATATTATAAATAAACCTGGAATTTGTAGAACCTGGCTGTCTGGAGAATAAAGAGTCCAAAAACCAGTTACCTTGGAGAGCAATGATCACAAACATGAGTATAAAATATCACTTAGTAATTGTGTTAGTTTGAAAGCAAAATATGTCCTGTGGTTTATCCTACCTAATAATATTCTAATGATCTATATATGCATGTTATATGGTTTTTCCTTCCCTTTAGTGTTTTGGTTTTATCTTCCCACTAGAATGAAGATATGTGATAGAACTGTAACTCAATTAGGATTTTAGATGCTGTGGTAGCGTAGTGGTTACGAATCAGGCTGCTAATCTCACAGTCAGCAGTTCTAAATTACCAGCTGTTCTGTGGGAGAGAGATGAGGCTTTCTGATTTACAGCCTCGGAAACCCTGTACAGGGTCGCTATGAGTCAGAACTGACTCCACAGCACAAACAACAAGACAACAACAAATTTTCCCATTATTATCCAGAACAAATTTTGTTGGTTTTTATGATATTGATGATATAAAACTTAACCATTTGTTATTTTCAGTAATTAGGATAATATTTCATGGCAGCATTTCTCAAGTGGATCTCAGGACCCATTTACATTCTTAAAAATTATTGAAGAATCTGAAGAATTTTTGTTTATGTGGGCTATATTTATAATAGTTACTGTATTAGAAATTGTTGTTGTTGTTAAATGCTGTTGAGTCGGTTCCTACTCATAGCAACCCTGTATAGATTTCCAGGGAGCACCTGGTGAGTTTGAACTGCCAACTCTGTGTTTCAAACTGACATTGCAGTCCAGTGCTTATCCTATAGAACCACACCAGGACTTCTTATTAGAAATTTAAAATTTTAATTGTATGTTAGAAATTAAATGGAGAAATTTTAATACGTGTATTCATTTTGTAAGGACTAATATACCCATTACATGGAAAACAGGAACATTTGCATTAAGTTTTCAGATTGTTATAAGTATTCTTCTTTGATTTTATCCCAGAACTCATTAAGTAGTAATTTCTTAAAGGTTAGTTACAGTGCAGAAGCTGAAACCATATTAATGACCTTTTTATACATTTATATTCCAATTCATTAGTCTGTCTTGCATTTTAAATGGATCTTTTACCCATGTATGATTTTGTAATATGCATTGGTAATTTAGAAAATATTGGTTCTCTGAATTATGCAGATCTTCCCATTGCTGTTACATTTCTGTACTTTGTTTGTTTAAAGTTTTTATTGTGAATTATGTGATAGTTTACATGGAAGAACATTAGCTTTACATCCATCCTATCGTATATCATTTCATTGCCATGATTACAATCCTCTTCATGCATCATCAAACAACCAAAGGGTATATCCCTCAAGCCTGCACCTCGGTCGTCAGTACACAGCCCCTCTCCCTCTCTGAGTCTAGAGTA